GTTKATAATTGCTAAATAACTTAATAGAGCTTATTTTATTATCATAAAGATAATTTAGTAATAATGAGATGGTTATAAAATAGCRATATTGATATAAATATAGAACGTAGTCCAATTATAATTGAGCGCAATTGGTGTTGAGCGTATGCGTACGTAAAATCGCAAACTTTGGAAAGGTATAACTTCCAAAATAATGGTTTYCGCACAAAAACTTAAACAATTTCAAAATCAGCGTTGAAAAACACGTCTTTAAAATAAAAAATTCGAAATTCGTGAGGGGGCGTGATAAAGTACATTTGTTCTAACTGTGTTACACTAAAACTATTTTATATTTGTAAATTTCATCCCTAATATAAGGATAATTATAGGTAAAATTATGCAGTTATTCAGGTGATATATTATATTTGTTAATGTAATGCAATATACTGTTGTCAAACCAATATTTAACGTATTATCAATAACAAATGATAGACGTTTAAACAATTAATGGATTAAYGCAGAGCGTTCTTCTAATCTGTATTCTATGGTTCYACCTTCTACCACACCATCTTGTCTACAGATCAAGGGAATGAGATAGTGAGAAAACCTTTAACGTCTCAAATAGTTTTCTCTCTCTATGCGCAGCGTCAATTAATTAAGTCACATTGGGGAACAGTCTGAATTCAGAAGTTGACAAAAAAAAAAACGGATCCAGAATGCCAAATTCTATTGGAGCCACTACAATCCTGCCTAATGCCTATGTAGAAAAGACGTACAGTTAGCAGTCACCACAACAACTACCACCATTCTTGCCGATAAGAGGGAATCTGTCACAAAAGCTTAGCAAATGATTTGGAACATGAATAAGAAATCGGCCAAAAAATGGTTAGGTATACAATCACTGAAGACACTAATTGGAGTCAGATTGTAACACCACTCACAATTGTAAATATCAGTATTTACTTTTGGCCATAATAYCACTAACATAATATGTCGTAATACACATTTTAATTTCTAATTTTTAGCTTATTATTGTATTTTTGTTCTACAGACTACAAGTATATAATAATAATTAATAAAAAATATTTTATACAAGAAACATAAAGTACCTAGGTATTTATTTTCAAGTTGATATATATATATATATCAACTACATAATATCAGTTGAGACGGAACACTGCCCTCTAAAAGAATACAGACTGTTATTACTAATACTGAAAATAATGAAAATAAAGTAACAGTATTCAGCAATAATACATGCCATAATAATTAAAAAAAAAAAAAAAATTATTATAGATAATCATCCAAAATTCTTAAAAATA